GAAGGGACGGGCATGGAGGATGTGGATTAAGCTGTGCATGAAGTAATGAAATGTAAATGACTTGTTTTTCTTCTTCTTTGGGATATATGTTCAATATTTCTTAGTTCCATTTGTTGTTATTTTTTTGGTTCTTCAATACTACAGTCGTGTGACAAAGTAGTAATAGTACAAAACTCTACATTTCTCACGGCCTCAACTCAACCCCCTCCACCCCCTTCATACCCTCCTTAAACCCCTCTCTCCCCAGAATCTCCTTCACCTTCTCCAACACCGCGCCTTCCCTCCTCCTACTCACATCTCCCTCGCTTACCTTCTCGCCCGCCACCAACGCCCCTTCTAGTCCCTCATACTCCCAAATATTCGCCTTCATGCCCACCCCATGATACTGATGTTTTTGCAAGAATGCCAACCAAGCCTTGACCACATCCGGATGCCCATCCTGAATCTGAATCAACCGCCTCATAGTCACTCGCTCGAAATTCTCCTGGCTCTTCTTGAAAATGAAATTCGAACGGGGGACAACCCAGCGCTCGGTTATGCGGGGTAGCGGGATGGGGCCTCGCGCGCAGAGGCCCATGTAGTACGCTGCGCGGACTGCGAAGTCGGAGAAGAGGAGGAGGTTGCGGATGTTGTAGGTGCGGAGTTGGAGGTCGCACGTGGGCACGCCGTATTCGGGTGTGCGACGAAGGGGCCGGAGGTGGACGGCGCGGACGTTGAGGGGGGTGCGGAGGGCGTCGAGGGCTTCTTGGGTTTTGGGGTCTAGCGGGGGGGTGTCGGTGGGAAGGGTGATGTCTTTTTCTCTGGTGGAACCGAAGTGTTAGTCTTTCTTCTTCTTCTATGTATGATGGGGATGAAGGAGGAGATATAGCGGGAACGTACTTTGCGAGTTTAATGGGTTCCACGCCAGCGCGCTTATACACTTTCAAGAGGCCAAGGTGGTCGGGTGTGTTTTGTAGTTCTTTCCATTGTCGCTGGGCTTCCTCGCGCGTCTTGGGTTCCCGTTGTTGCTGGCGCTTGTTGACTTTTTGCTGGCTGGCATATAGACTGTATTTTTCGTCAGAATTCCCATCATCCTCAAACATTTCGTCATGGCGAGCAGACATACGTCTTGAATTCCTCAACATCAATACCCATATCCTCCAGCCGAGCATCAAGCGGCATATCACCGCTCTCCAGGTCCATCTTCAGCTTCTCAATGAGCCTGACATCTCGGTCTTCTCTCGAGTCCCGCTCATTGTCCTCGTCTGCTCTCGAGCTCTTGTTCCGCGAAAAGGTCTGGGTCGATGGCCGTGGGGCGTGTGAAATCTAATTTTCCATTGCAAGTCAGCGGGCCAATTCTTCGCAAATAGCGTTTAACAATGCAATCGATTCATACCTTCACCCTCTTTGCCGGCCCCAGAAAAGAGCGCATACATCGTGGCGCGGTCATGGTCGCTGTCGTCGCAACTTAACCCACGTCCAGCCGTCCAACTTCTTCCTCCGACAATGGCGCTAGTTGCGATTCCGCTTATAGCCTTGGCAGTTGTCGGAATTGCCCGCCGCCTTCCTTGTGCACCCTAGTCATTCCCTCTGATAATGTCACATGTACTTCCTAGACTATCTTCCCTAGCCACGGTTGATCTGTTTATATTTTGTGTTCTTGAGACTTGTTCTCCTTGACTTCACTTTTTTGCGACTGCTCAAGATGGAGTCCACTCAAGATGCCGCCGCTGCGCCAAACGCCTATGTCCGCGCCACAGAGACAGCCAAATACGTTCGCTCCCAACTACCCGAGACGCTCCAAAACCCAAAGGTAGCCATTGTGTGTGGTTCGGGACTAGGTGGACTTGCCGACACCATCGAGCCAGAGCCCAAAGTCGAGTTGGCATATGGCACAATTCCATACTTTCCCAAAAGCACAGGTGTGTACAAGACGCGACCCTCAAACTTCATGATGCGGGGTGCTGACAAGTGCATAGTTCAGGGCCATGCGGGCAAGTTTGTCTTTGGTCACATTGGGCCTCAGAAAACACCAGTCGCACTTCTAGTTGGACGCGCACAGTACGTCACTACATGAAAAGAAGATCATTTGAACAAGTTTGATATTGACATTGATAGTTTCTACGAAGGACACTCCATGGACTTGGTCACATTCGCTACCCGAGTGTGCAAGGTCCTCGGTGTCGAAACCATGATTGGTATGGAACGTGCCAGGCGAGAGCTAGACTGATCGGCTAATGATGGCATGTAGTCACAAACGCAGCTGGTGGTCTCAACCAGACTTATCGCGTGGGAGACATTGTGTGTCTAAACGACGTGTGTAAGTCGTTGCAAAGCTCAAGACTCACCCTAACACTATTCAGCATCTCAATATGGCTGGGCTCGTTGGATTCCATCCGCTGCGAGGCCCCAACATTGATGAGTTTGGTGTACGATTTCCACCACTGTCAGATGCCTACGACCTCGATTTGAGGAGAAGAACACACAAAGCTTGGGCTAAGCTAGGCCTTGACCAGCAACAGAGACGTCTACACGAAGGTGTATATGCATTCGTTGCGGGACCAACGTATGTTCTCAAAATATTCTTACTTGACATGTCAAGAGCGGGCATGAGCTAACTCATCCAGTTACGAGACCCGTGCCGAGTGCCGGATGCTGAGCATGTTAGGGGCTGATGTCGTTGGTATGTCGACTGTGCCAGAGATCATCGTCGCGAGACATGCAGGAATGCGTATCCTTGCATTCAGTCTAGTCACAAATGTCGCTGTCCTCGAAGCAGGCTCTTGTGGAAACGATGCAACAATTCAGAACATGAACAGGGCGCAGCTGACCGAACACCTGAGCCAAGGCAAGGCAAACCACGAAGAGGTACTAGAGGCTGGACGGGAGGCGGCCAAGGACATGCAGGCTTTAGTCAAGCAGATCCTTTCCGACCTAGGCGAGGAATAGAAGCGCTTCCCAGAGAAGGTTCCATGGGACAGACGAGATAGATCTGAGCTAGAAAGCATCAAGCCAGAGAAAACTGGCCTCAAACCCCCGAAAACAGAGTCAGATCGACAATTATTACGTGAAGTTTCATACACATGCTCAAGGCTTGACAATCTTGCCCTTGTTGCGCTTTGCTTTGAGAGCCTTGTAGTGGGCCTTCTTTCCGCTCGACTTGGTTGCCTGAATGTCTTGGTATTTTCGGTTGAAGCGGCCACTGTCTTGCTCCTGGGCAATGACTTCCTCGAGCATGGTTTGCTTGCGGTCCTTGTTCTTGAGACGGCTGCTGTAAAACTCGGTGGCGCCTTCAATGATGGTGCCGACTTGGGAGAAGGCAGGGACATCGCCCTTGGAGTTGTCCTTTTTGTAGTGGCGCTTGGGATCGAGGACGCTGCGCATCTTGAGGAGTTGCAAGTCTCGGCGCAACTCTGGAGTCAGGTCGGTCTTGGGCATGTTAAACCATTGTGAACCAGCAGTTGCCTTCTTCTCCTACACAAGCCGTTAGCATGTTGTGGCTGACAAACTTGAATGCAAAAAGCGTGTAATGAATAGATGCCTCAGTGTAACTATGAACTAATGGTGCCTCAGTAGCGCAGGAAGGCAACCAAGACGGCGCCCGGATCTGCTCAGCAAAAACGTTTGGGATAGATATCATCAAAGGCGTGGGGGGGACGCAACTGGGGTTTGGCATACCTCTTGCTTCTGCTTCTTGATCTGCAGCGGGTCCTCAATCTTCTTGATGCCGTTAGCCAAGGCCTTTTGGTTCTTGTCGACAAGCTTTGAGTGATCTAGACGAGTAATATTGCCATGAGTCTTTTCGTAAGTATCGGCGATATGGCCGGGCATCAGTTTGGGAAGCTTGAATGGGGCTTCGGCCCTAGCTGCGGGCTGCGCAGCCTTTGCACGCATGCGCTCAGCAGCCTCGTTGAGCAGCTCTCGAATCTGCTCGTCGGAGAGATCCTCGTCCGAGTCGTCGACGAGCGGCTGGTGCGTTGGCAGCTCCATGCTGGCGGTGACGGGGAAAGGATGGAAAATTTGGAGAATAACTTTTTGAAAAGGTCGAGCGCACGAGCCATGTCGGCAAAGCTAAGCTGCTTGCGTCAGATGCCTTGCATGGCCGCCGACGAACCATGTACTACTATGTATGGATGCAAGTACATAATACGAGGCTGGTCGGGCATTTTGTGATACAAGAGTCCATCAATGGCAATGGCCTGCATTGGGCGTCCTAGTGCATGGGAATGTCTGCCCCTGCTGCTCGCGTCCGCCACGTCAAGTCACGCACAACACCGCAACCGTCGAGATCTTGGTGCGCGGTCAGCGTGGGCATATTGGCTCATGACGCGTGCGTGCATATCATGATGGCGCATTGAAGAGAACTGAGGACGAACAACTCATCGCTGGCATGGCCCGTTGCTGAGAGAGCCAATCAGGGCGCTGGGCCTCGGTCACGATGCGGCCGAGCATTGCGCCTTGAAGAGGCACAAATGTGATAGAGGCGGCAGACACACGGCGTCGCTCCTGTGCTGTCACTGCTCTAGGCATTGCGGACGGGCGCGGTGCGACATGGATAGCACGCATACATATGGGTATATTAAGCGTGGTCGAGTGACAATGGGGCGAGCATCTGGCTGTGGACGAGACGACGCTGCAGCGCCGTCGCTACGTGATAAACTCGCGCCTCGAAGGCCTTCTTGGACTACTGTTAGGGGCAGTTAATCAATCAATTACTGCTGCACCCACTCGCCGCCCTCTCCAACACTGGTCTCTGAGAAGCTGGGTAACGTCGGGGCCCTTGCCTAGCTGTGGTTCGTCGACCCGTTGGAAACCCACCAACCAACCAACAATCAACTCCGCGAAGATATACTCGGGCTGGAATTTGATTCGCCAGGCCCAATCACAGGTCAGTCGCGTTTCTTGTTCAACGTCGAGAGTCGAGATGAGTTTGTGCAATAGAAGGAAGCTCATACACAATGCCAGGCCGCCCGCAGCATCGCCTCTCGCCCCCAAAAAACAGGCATTCGCGTCTTCCCCGCGCCATCTCTCTGCACCTTTCCCGGCCACTCAGACCGTACCTTTGACACAACCACACCCGCGCCCTCCTCCCACAACGCGCCTATACCAATCCCTTGACGACTCATTGGGCACTGCGCATACCTCTCCTGCATAGAGCCGCTCTCCACACTCAATTTCCCTGCGCCGTCCGGTTTCCAGACGCACCTGACAGACGCGCACCCAGCCCACCGTGTCGCACTTGCGCAACCCAGCCCACGCCATGGATCAAGTCAACCTCCAGGGCCACGGCCAGCAGAAGATGCGCCCGGCCACTGCTGCGCCCCGCAAGTACGACGGCCAGCAAGGCAATCCGCTCTACGACCCTGCCAATGGCGGTCACTATGGTACGTCGATGCAGCTCCAGCCGGCGCATTCCCCGTTGACCGCTTGTGCTAATAACCCTCCAGGCGCATCCGCAGCTGTATGTCTTCTTGCGCCTCCATGGCTCTCCCGAGCTTCCCATCGCTGATATTTGGTCCAGATTGCCGCGCAAAACCAAGCTCCAGATCCGCAGCTCTTCACCGGTTCCTGGCAGAATGTACGCATCTAACGCCTAAACGCCTACAGCGCCCGGGTCCCAGTAGCTGACACTTGCAGGTGAACCAAGGCCTCACGGGAAACTACCGCGACATTCTCAACACGTACTGGCAGCAACAAGTAACGAAGCTCGAGACGGACGAACATGACTACAAGCTGCACCAGCTCCCGCTCGCCCGCATCAAGAAGGTCATGAAGGCGGATCCCGAGGTCAAGATGATCTCTGCCGAAGCGCCCATCCTATTCGCCAAGGGATGCGACATCTTTATCACGGAACTCACGATGCGTGCGTGGATCCACGCCGAGGAGAACAAGCGTCGCACTCTGCAGCGCTCCGACATTGCCTCCGCACTGTCCAAGTCGGACATGTTTGACTTTCTTATCGATATCGTCCCTCGTGAAGAGGCGCATCCACACAAGAGAAGCGCGGGCCAAAACGCGGCCGTGCAATCGTCGGCTGCAGTGGTTCCTCCCGGCGGCATGCCTCAGCCTGTGCACGCCCAGCATCCAATGGCTCCTCCCGACTACGGCATGAACCAACACCTTGCCCAGCAAGAGGACTACCGGCAGTCATCCATGTATCCAGGACCTGTGCAGGGCGACCCGAGCGTGTATGCGCAGCAGGGCATGTTTGATCCCAATGCGTATGGCCCATACGGCGCCATGGGGCAGCAGCCTCAGATGTACGCAGTTGGCCAGCGCGGGCCAGATCCCAATGCTGGCGACCCACAGGGCTTTGGTCGGTATGGCGAGGCTGACGCTGATGATGATGCTCAGGGCGAGCGCGTGGACGCGGACAACTAGTTGTTGGCCGAGCCTCTGGCCCCCAGTGATGGCTAGTCGCAATGCTGGCACGACAGAGTGTGCTGTTGTGCGCTGTTGTTAAATTGATCTTGAATATGGCGTTTAGGTACGGTGTTTGGGCACACGGCCGCGGAATGGCTAGGTATCATGAAAGGCGTCATAAGACAATATCACTTAATGGAAAGTCAATTAGCTTGTCGAAAACATATGATGCTTCTCCCGTAACAGCTTAGGCAGCGAGGCTTGTTTGCCATGACGTTAGCAGCGAGGCCCCGGTCTATTCCGGTACCTGTAGCGCGCTGGACAGGACCGAGGTCCTTGTTGGCTGAAAGACTTGAACGATGCGCGGGTCTATGTCTTTGTACCTGCATTTTCTAGCGGGCTCCGTTCTATTCCGAAGATCTGTGGCACCGAGGCCTATCACATGCGTGGTTTGTGGCTGGGAGCAGTAGAGGCATTGTGTATACAGTTTGGAGTTTGGATGTTCGAGTGTTATGTTCTGCATGACTGATCTACGCCTGAGATAGTTCTGAACCAAAACTGCATACCCGCCTGGCGAAACTAGGGCTGTCGCGGACTTGATGCGATCTGCCCTAGAAAGCACTAGGCGTGACGGCTTTTAGGTGAGGCGCGTCCCATGCTCCGCCCGGTACCCCGCCGCTAATGGCCCGTGCTCCACCCCACCTGTGCGAGACCAACAGAACGAGTGCATAGTCCAGCGCTCACCCTACATCAAGCCACCATTCTGCCTCTTCTTCTCTTCTCTTCTCTCACCGACTCTTCAATTGCTTTCTATCAAACTTGCCCCTTCACAAAACACCCCTCTTTCTTCATCAATCACATCGAAAATGGTCAAGGCCGTAGTAGCTGGAGCTTCCGGAGGCATCGGACAGGTACGAGCCTGCGAGCACCCAAAGGGTCCATAGACCCTCATTGCAGCATCTGCTAACCAATGTGAAATAGCCCCTCTCTCTGCTCCTCAAGAACAACCAGCACGTCACTGAGCTCGCCCTCTACGATGTTGTAAACACTCCAGGTGTTGCTGCTGACCTGTCTCACATCTCGACCCCCGCGGTATGAGGTGCTCGCCCCGCATTCACGTAAACACACTAAAGTTGTTTAGATTGTGAAAGGATACCTGCCCAAGGACGATGGTCTGAAGGGCGCCCTTACCGGTGCTGACATCGTTGTCATCCCCGCTGGTATTCCTCGTAAGTTGGATATATTCTGCGGCCCGGCGAGCAAACACTGACAAAGACTTAGGCAAGCCTGGTATGACGCGTGATGATCTGTTCAAGATCAACGCCGGCATTGTCAAGGGTCTCATCGAGGGCGTTGCCCAATTCTGCCCCAAGGCTTTCGTCCTCATCATCTCCAACCCTGTCAACTCGACAGTCCCCATCGCTGCCGAGGTCCTCAAGAAGGCTGGTGTCTTCGACCCCAAGAAGCTCTTCGGTGTCACCACCCTAGACGTCGTCCGTGCCGAGACATTCGTTGCCGAGATCATTGGCGAGAAGAACCCCGGAAACCTCAACATTCCCGTCATTGGTGGCCACTCTGGCGAGACCATTGTCCCACTCTTCAGCCAGGCTAAGCCAAGCGTGAACATTCCAGCAGACAAGATGGAAACCCTTGTCAAGCGTGTCCAATTTGGTGGTGATGAGGTCGTCCAGGCAAAGGACGGTGCTGGTTCAGCCACCCTTTCCATGGCCTACGCCGGATACCGGTAAGTTTCGTATGGCTCTACTTTGAGATGACACAGCCTGAAACCAGACAGATTCGCCGAAAAGGTCATCAAGGCTGCCAAGGGAGAGAAAGGCATTGTCGAGCCTAGCTACGTCTACCTCCCTGGTGTCGAGGGTGGTGACGCAATTGCGAAGGCTACTGGAACCGAGTTCTTCTCTGTACCAATCGAGCTTGGTGTAAGTAACTCAAGACGGGCTTAACGTCTTTTCATGTCCTGTGGCTTTACTAATTTTCCCAATAGCCCAGTGGTGCCGAGAAGGCCATCGACGTCGTCAGCAGTGCGAACGAGCACGAGAAGACTCTCCTCAAGGCCTGCTACGAGGGCCTGGGTGGCAACATCACCAAGGGTGTTCAGTTTGTCCAGAGCCCTCCTTCTTAGTGAGTAGACTACATTGCAGCATTGATCGAGTATGAAGCTGATGGAATCGTGCAGAGGAACTATAGACCTACATGATGGATGATGCGAGACGAACCCAGATGAAGACATGTATTGGAATGCCCATGATCATATGCCACCTGTGAGCAGAAGAATGAATAAATTTATGAACATCGCAAAGATCCCCTTGCATGATTCCAAGACGCATCCGCATCAATGCTTTTGTGATGAACATGTTCTGATCAAAATAGGATATGTCCCGCATGTCACGCCCAGAAAAAGAACCCTCGTTGTTCGACATGCCATGCGGGCTCGCAATCCTTATTGAAATGTGTCCGTAGCCAATGAGTATACCTATGGTCGACCGATTACCTATTGCAGAGCCGTTGATGGATGTCCATAGAGAACCAGTACCATAGGCGAAGAATGAATACCGAAAAGAAAGATGTATAGAATTACTTTTGAAATTCAATTAGCATTATTTTGGGGTATAGTTGGAGAAGCAGTTACATATGCGAGTTCGCATAAAATGATGACTGACTAGGCGATATCAAGGCTAACCATGGTATGGGATATTGACACTTTGTGCTGACTTACATATCTAGTCACGCACCTATCCGTCCTTCTCCTCCATCACTCATCAAACACAGCTATCGCCTATACAGACAAGCCCGAGTACATCCAAGATGCGTTTATCTTTCCTGGACCTCCCCCCAGAGCTGAGGGTCAAGATCTACAAGTACTTATCCATCACCACAAAGCACCTAGTCCTCGATCATGCACTCAACCAGTATGGTCATGCGTCGACCATTCGGCTAGTCGTAAAATTTGCACCCGTCGAGATCTTGAGGACCTGTCGATTGATTTACCGGGAAGTTTATCCATATGTCAATTGGCTTGTGGCAGATTGCGAACGTCCGCAGGTCATTGTTGACATATCCATGATGGAGACCTTTTGTGAGATAATTTGCGGCACCGGTGCTCTCGACATGGGAAAGCTCTTCATAATGATTATGCAAGAGTATTGTTCAGCGACAGATCTGCCCATAGATCAAGGACGGCACCGAAGCCGTTTAAATTTACTGCCATCAGATCGCGTGGTATCGACGGAATACGCAAACAAACTCAGACGCTTTATTGAACGGAGCCACAACTATGTAAACTACGTGTTCGACAAGCGCAAGCGCATACCCGAGATTGCTGTCAAGATACAAGCAGATGTCACCACACCAGGACGAACACTCGTTTTCTTGGTAAATCTACTATGCGAAACAGAGCGTAAGAGGCAAAATTATCGCTTATACACTAAAGTGGAAGGGGAACTCGATGCCACGATGAAGAGCAAATACAGCACGCTGACGGATGCCTGGAATTATGACTTGAGATATTTTGGTCACGAAGATGCAAAGGGACTTGATGATGCAGAGTGGCAGGCAGACTGGGAAGGGAATGAGGTTTGTGAGAATTACGTGGAAGCAGAAGCGGTGTTGCACACCCTGATAGAGAAGGCTCGCAGGGATCCATTATGTCATCTTTTGTGGAGCATTGAGAGATTGCAAGATGCAGTGAGGGCTGGAGGCATATGATTAGGACAGAGCCAGTGATTCTTATGGTCTATGCTCCAAATTTCGATTCTCGCATGACATGGATAGATGCAAGTAGTGTTAGGGCGTTTGCAAGATGTGCCGAGCCATGACACTAGGTCCTAGGACCCTTGCCGGATGATCGACCGCAGTAGTTCTGAATAGCCCACATGGAGCTCCAACGCCGACGTACCATTGCGCTTTGTGACTGCGATTCCCCGCCTACAGCCCGATAATTCCCCAGCACCGATCCCCCGCGACGGATAATACGACACAGAACAATCCAATATCCAGGGCCGTCCCAATTCCATCTGCAGAGCCCCTACATCAACATTATCGGACAACGCGCGCACCCCTCGGCACAGTACACTCGAGTCTACACACCAAATACTCGCCCAGCCGACAATCAAGCCCATACACATACAAAAAGAACACCTCCAAAACATGGCGCAAGCCAACCCTTCCGTCTCGAGCGAAACCTCGCCCCCCTATGTCGACCCCACCTTCTCGCTGGTCAACACATCATGCCTAGACCTCCTCCTCATCGAACTGGTCCCCATGGCCTACCGCATAACCGCCGACCTGGCCGCACGAGAAGAAGAATGGATCCACGGCGCTGCCAGCGCAGCCTCACCTAGCGCGCGACCTAAACAGCTAGCTGGCTCCCCCGGTAACGACGCCGCGAGCACAGTAGCCGCGCGGACAGAAGGCGGAGGCCACGTCGGTGTCGCGGGGACCGTGGACGAGGAGGAGAGTAGAGAAGCTGTGTTTCACCGGTTAGAAGCACTGGGGTATAGAGTTGGTCTTGGGGTTGTGGAACGGTAATTTACATTCCCCTCCTCCCCTTCCTTTCCTCCTACCCCTACTACACCCACTCTCTTTCTCCCGGTCTGCTTGCTTGATTAATTAAATGATTGAATCGCTGACCCGATAAAAGTTTCTCCCGCGACGCCCCCCGCCCCACCACCCCTCTCGATTGCATCAAATTCCTCTGCAAAGACCTCTGGACCCTCCTCTTCCGCAAGCAAATCGATAACCTGAAAACGAACCACCGCGGCATCTACGTCCTTACCGATAACACCTTCAAGCCCCTCGGCCGCATGTCGTTTGACACGAAGAAATACGATGCGAGCATGCAGGCGGCGCTCGTGGCGCAGACGGGGGACCCCGCGTTGGGGAGGGAAGCGAATTCGCAGGCGAGGGTCCAGCCGTTTCTTTATTTTCCCGCGGGCTTGATTAGGGGGTGTCTGGCTGCGCTGGGGATTCAGGCCAGTGTTACGGCAGAGAGTGTGGCGTTGCCGGGGGCTACGTTTCAGATTCGGACGGTGGGGGCGAAGAGTTGAAGATGTTTGAGATGTTAGGGCTATGTCTTTAGTTCATGATTGTATAGTGGTTTTAGCGGCATTCACTGGCGTTTTTTTTGCAAGAATGAATGATGAAGATGGGGTATGAGTATGGTTGCATGAGAATGTGTACATATATGGATATCCGAATATATATGTTTATCATCACTTTCGTTTTTTTGTAGCGGCAACATAGATGGACAAGGCAACGAGCAATGTTGTACAAGACTAAAATACAGCACAGATCATTCATCTCACTTGGACCATTGAGACATGGTGATGAATAATATCTCATTTCCAACTCCATTTCCAATTCCAAATAAAAGACAAGACGCCACAAATGCCCTAGACAAAGGCACATAGTGCCTATTCTTTTCCCTTAACTGAGATAGACCTCCAAAGAAATAATGAAAAATCAAACGTTACTCGGCCCACCGGGACCCTTTGGATCAAGCAACAAATGCGGTTTCAAGAAGCCATCATCAATCTGCTTAAAGGCGTTTGCAGGATCATGGCTAATTTCACTGATAAGCTGCTTTACCGCACCAGTAGCAGTAGCAACTCTACCGGGACCTTCTGGTGGTCTATGACCGGAAGTCGGGTACGGTGATACTGTCTGAGAAGCACCTGCAAGTGGGGATGATGAGCGGTTGGGGGAGCGGCGGGCGCTCGGGGGTAAGTCGAGATCAATGTCGTCTTCGTCGTTTGAGGCGCTGTCTCCGGGGCTGAGGAGACCCTGGTCTGCGCCATCGCGGGCGCGGACGTGGCTGGAGTTGCGCCGGGTAGCGCCGTTTGGACGGGTTCGGGGACTGCTGCGGCTGCGGGAGCCGCTGGAATAGGAACCTTCTTGGCTGTTGACGTTGTTGAGGGTGAAGGCGCCCTGGCTGGGGCGTGGGGTGTGACCATAGCCTTGGCCTTGCTTGCGGCTATATGTGCCGCCGTTGACGACCTCAATGTCGAATTCGTCGTCGCTGTCGATTTCTTCAACGACACCGGTGCGAATCCCGAGGATTTCCAACATGCGCGCGGTGGTGCCGCCAAAGATGATGACAGTCAAGACGACGACGACAAGGACAGTTGCTCGTAGAGTATCGCCGTTGTTACCTGTCAGGCCTGCAGCGAGCGCAACACCGACGGCACCACGCAGACCTGCCCAGTAAATCATGGCTTGGTGAGACCAGGGAATCTCTTCCACAAGCTCTTCTCCACGCCTGCGCTGGCGGTACCGGGTCACGGAGTTGATGATTCTAGAAAGCGGAAACACGGCACACCATCGAGCCGCGCAGATGCCGGCAACGGTAATGAGAATAAACAGGGGTTTGTAGTCAAGCTTGTCATCTGTAAAGAGCGAGAGTCCCAGGTAGATGAAGATGAAGTTCTCCGAAATCTGTGACGTAACTTGGAAGACAAATTTGGTAGTAAGCTGTGTTCGCCTCGACATGTTGTGGTAAGCGTAGTGCTTCATGCATATACCGCAGAATAGTAGCGAGACAATACCTGTACTTGGTTAGCGGCAATACATACTGACAACCTTGCAGCACTTACCCGACATGTGGATGGCGTTGGACATGAAATATGTCAAGTATGCAGTGAGGATAATCAGACAACTCTCAGTCTTGGGGAAACGCCTGACATAGGTGAACTTGAGCATCAGAGAGACGGCAATGCCGACCGTGACACCAATAAACAGACTACCGAAGAAGACGCCAAAGAAGATGCCAAAGGCCTCGAAAAGGCTAAGGATACCCAGCGACTCTGCGCCATCCTTGTACTTTTGTGCGGTTTCAAACAAGACGATAGCAACGGCATCATTCAAGATGGACTCGCCAAAAATGAGTGTGTACAGCTTGGGCTCTACTTTGTAAGTATCAAAGATGGCGAGAATGGTCACGGGGTCCGTAGCCGAAAGGGTGGCGCCCACGGACATGGCCTCGACAAAGTTGATCTTGAAGCCATCGAGAGGGATCCTGGTCCAGAGGAACAGAATGAGGCCGAGGACTAGAGCAGAGATGAAGGTTCCGGCAAAGGCAAAGGTAAGGATAGTGCCGATATGACGAAAGAAGTTGCCCTAGGACTTGTTAGGACATGGCAAGGAGCAGGGGTGTGCGTGAGAACCCACTTGGTGCAGTTCATAGCCGGCCGACAGGATGATGGGAGGCAGCAGCAGGTTGAAGAACATTTGGTAGTCAAAACTGACGGCATCCCGCACGGATGCTACTGCTGTCAGGCGGAGGATGAGACCAACGACCATTCCTGAAAGTGGTTAGCGGGGCGTGTAGTAGCGTGCTCCGGTTACGATGTGAGCCAAGGCGGGATTGCAGTGGACAGGACATGTGCAGATTTACCCCACTAATCAATCGCTGATCGAGCTTCTGCCCCAAGCTTGCAGGGCGATGGCTTGTAACCCAGTATGCGCACTACTTGGGGCTTGTCACGACGATTGCGCAAGAGCAGTAGAGGCCACGGAGGCGGGCGTGGGGCAACGTACCAGCAAAGATGGACAGGACAGTTTCATGGACGGCTTGTATTTTGCGCGTATGCAGGATGTAGCTGGTAAAGAGGGCGATGATGAGTAGGACAATGAGGATGGACAAGGCCCACGATGTGAAGATTTCCTTTTGGCCGGCTTCGGGTTCGTCTGGTGCGGGCATTAGACAGACTTGGGGCGCGGGGAGTTGGAGAAGGACATGGGTAACTGACCGTCCGGGTCTGCGTCGGTCGTGTCTCGCTCTGTATCATAAAAGGTCAGTGGTGATCTGGGCGACATGGTGTCTCATGGCATGGGCTTCGAGGGCGCATACTGAGGAGCTGGCCGACGGCCCACCAGCCCATTATGGAAGCCATGCTGGGCTCAAGGCGGCGCTTTCATGGGCCGGATCGCGTCGCTTCGCGGATGAGTCGAGGGGGCAGGGCGCGTGTGATGGACGGCACAGGTGGTGGTGTTGGGCGTGGGTCTTGGATGAAGGCCACGGGCGCGCCAGATGACAGAGGGCGGATGGCGCGAGTGGGCAGGCAGTGGCAGTGAGAGTGGCTGGGCAGGGCAGGGCAGGGCAGTGAGGGTGTGAGGGCGAGCGTGATCAATTCACTCTGACGTGTCTGTGTGTGCGTATGTAGGATGTATGTGGATTGTATGCAGTGTGCATGTATGTAAGTATGTGTTCTCTGGGAGTTGCTGCCTCGCCCTCTGCGTCCCTAGCAAAGCTGCCCAGGTGTCTGTTCGTCGTCCCATGTCCCGGCACACGGCCCTCCCGCCCTAACGCCGCATCGGGACTAGCGGCTTGACCAGGGTCTGAGGAACCGCTCGCTCATGGCCCAACGTCATCCTACATGCTTCTCGCACACACACTGCCTGCATGACATCGACTTTGAATCGTCCTGCTGAGCGCAAAAGACACCCAACCACCACACACACTTACACTTGCACGCGCATACGCTCGCGCGCACATGACCTACACCGCTCTCCTCGGCGCCTGGTGACGTTCCCCTGCTGATTCGACTCGCCTTCCTTCGCCTCCCCGCCACTGCCGCCTCCAGCTGCAGTGCGGCTCGTCATTTGCGTAGCCCTTTATTCTTGCTGAGCACGCCGCCGCCCGTTGTGCACTCCAGCGGAACCGCTAGCTTCTCTTTCGCTGTGCTGCATATCTTGGCCCCTCCGCCGTGACTTTTGCCTGCCACAGCCCTGTCTCTCACCACATCACTCCACCCTCCCTCGACACTGCTGCCCCCCGCCCGCCGCCCGCTGCCAACTGACCCTGGCAGCACGTCTGCCAATCACAGTCTCGCCGACCCTGACCACTACAGCAATCTATCTCCAGGCCTGACCACGTCGCCGCCTGCACAGCAACCCGATCGCGTGTTGTCCCCACGCCCACTGCCACATCATGTCCTCGACGCCTCTGTCTCGTGGCCGAGATGACTCTGCCCCAGGGCCCCTTTCCCCGCCTCTATCTAGACTCGACACTTCCTCTCCTCGTCCCAAACCACGACCCAAACTCGTCTCTTTTGCTCGCGACTCTCCCCTGGGCGGCCGCCCCGACACTGACGGAGACGCTGACATAGAATTCATCCATCACGCAGACCATCCGCCCCGCATGTCTTCAGAAGTCGACCCGCTCCTTAAGGAGGCCATGTCGCCCAACAGCGAAGACGACAGCTGGTTGGGTGAATCTCAGGTCGAAGAGACAAAATCGAGCTGGTTTCTCTTCCTACTCACTTTTGGCGGCCTCGGCTTGCAAATTGGTTGGTCTGTAGAGACTTCAAACGGCTCGGTAAGTGCTTTTTCCGCCTGCCTCTTCGAAAAAACTTCACTGGCACGCTATGGACCCTGCGTCCGGATCGGCGTCCTGCTACTTGTGTTTCCACGGTGGCGAGTCTGTGGCTAACGTTGTCTACAGCCCTATCTATTGTCGCTCGGTCTGAGCAAGTCAATGCTTGCCCTTGTCTGGATTGCCGGTCCTCTCTCGGGTGTACTCGTCCAGCCTTACGTCGGTCTCAAGAGCGACAATTGCCGTCTACGATGGGGAAAGCGAAGACCTTTCATTGTCGGCGGTGCCGCCGCAACCATCTTGTCTCTCATGGTTCTCGCTTGGGCTAAAGAGATTATGGGCGGTTTCCTGGGCATCTTTGGTGCAGACCCAGAGTCCACCTTTGTCAAGACAAGTATCATGCTTTTCGCTGTCCTCTTCGTATATGTACTGGATTTTGCCATCAACGTCATCCAAGCTGGCGTGCGAGCATACATTGTCGATGTTGCCCCCACGCACCAGCAAGAATCTGCCAATGCATGGCTGATGAGGTCGGCGGGTATTGGCAACATCTTGGGCTACCTAGCCGGCTACATCAACTTGCCAGACTATCTCCCATGGCTCGGCAACACCCAGTTCAAGGTCCTTTGCGCCATTGCATCCTTTGTCATGGCTCTCACTGTCGGCGTCAGTTGCTCCACATGCGCCGAACGTGACCCACAGTTCGATACCGCTCCCGCCAACCAACAAGATGGTGTGATTGCTTTTTTCAAGGGCCTTGCACGCTCAGTCAGGAAACTGCCTCCTCAGATAAAGAAAGTCTGCATGGTGCAGTTCTTCGCTTGGATCGGATGGTTTCCTTTTCTCTTCTACATCACCACCTACGTTGGCGAGATCTACGCCGACCCATTTTTTGAGGAGGACCCACATCTCCCAGATCGCCAGATCGACGGTATCCTTGAAGATGGAACCAGAATTGGCACAAGAGCTTTGTTGATTTTCGCCATCACTACATTCATCGCCTCTGTCATCTTGCCTTTTGTTATTCCGCCAACATTCCAAGCCCCAGAGCCCGAGCGCCCCGTTACTCCCGCGACCCCCATGACGCCATCCACCCCGCATTCCATGAACGGCTCCAGCTATTTTGCACTCAACCACCAGCCCAGAGGAACTTCCAAGACTTTTATGGACAGGCTCTCCAATTCAATGGACGTGCTGCAGATCAAATCACTAACCCTTCGTCGCGCATGGCTCATATCGCACATTCTCTTCGCGGTGCTAATGGCTCTGACCTTTTTTGTCCGCAGTACCTGGGGCGCTACAGTCCTCGTCGGCGCTATTGGCATTCCTTGGTGTATCACAAACTGGGCGCCATTCGCCATCATCTCTTCCGAAATCTCAAAGCGAGACGCCATTCGCCGCGGCATCATCAAGCCTCGTGACCGTGAAGCGCAACTTATTGCAGAGGGCGAAGATGAAGGTTCAGGTGCGGATTCGGCTGGTGTCGTACTCGGAATCCACAATGTCGCAATCGCAGCACCGCAAGTTATTGCCACGTTGATCAGCGCCATCTTGTTCAGAATCCTACAGAAGCCTAGAGGCACAGCTGGCGACACCAGTGTAGCCTGGGTGCTGCGCTTTGGAGGCATCTGCGCTCTAGCCGCTGCGTGGCTGACACTCCAAGTCAACGAGGAAAAAGAAGACGTTGAAACCGAAGAACCCTTCAGGAGGAGGCGGACGTCCTAGGACGACTCCGATGAGTATTCTTTGGCTCATCTTAGACATGAGTTGGCCCAGTTACTTGGCTGGCAAAATTCTCTAGACGGAGACACTTTGACAATCTTAGACAACGGCAGAAGACGAGGCAAGAGTTGTGAGATATTCCAACAGTATTAGCCAGCCTTGCCGCTGCCCCATATACGCATTATCCCCTTTTGGATTGTTCTGGGTCCAAAAGTCTGGTTTTTTATTAGGTTCTGGTACCCTCCCCACTTGAATTAGACTGTGATATTCTTTGTGGGTTTCGAGCAAAGGCATTTCTCTTCCTCTCCTTTTTTATACGGCGTCTTGAGAAGAGAGATTCTACACCTTTTTTTAACGGCTTTATGAGATGGCATGAGCGGAGTTTTGGGAGGGCTTATACACACACATCCATGTACATGCGGATGGATCTTGGGACTTTTCTGGGAATCGGCGCGGATAGGGGCGTTTGCTTCTAATGGATAGGGAAAATTATACCACACACGCTCTTTACTTCTCTAATGATCGGTAGAAAATCTAGGACCTTGTTTTTTGCTGTTGTATTGTAGCTTTGGTATTTCAATGGAATAGATAGATGGCCCTTTGATGTATTTCATCAAATGTTGTTTAACCATTTTCTGGATTTTATCGTCTCATTGTACCACCTGCTTACTCATTCTTCCTTTCCCCAAAGAAACAATGTATTTAATTCCTAATACGAATTTATTATCAAGAAATAGTAGAAAGTTGATTTGCTATTCGATGCTTCCTGAGACCCCGTAGCGAAGGGAAGTTCATTTTTTTTAAAAAAAAGAATCGAGTTACCAAAGAAAACTTGCTTGCAATTCTCTCTCTGTTTTGCTTTTGTTCCTTCAGAAGTACTTGCAACGTTCTGGACCCCCCCCATTTTTCTTCTAAAAAAAAGTAACTATTATATCTAGCAAGTATTAAGAATGATGTTAATGTAATGTATACTCGAAATGACTGCATGATGGCCATTAAATAATGTACAAGCACCCAGGCACTATGTCTGATTATAGTACCGTGCATCGCTTTCATCTCTGTTGCCTAGAGAGAAAAATGGCGTAGCGTTGGTTGTATCAAGTGGTATAGACTGTTTGTACCAGTGATACGTCTTCCATTCGACTAACCTAACACTTCTTTCTGGTCTCAGAAAGAAAGTATATATCTATTTGGGGAAACTTGGAAAAGAAAAATGTCTCTATTGTAGAAGTGTGAGGAAAGGAAGATCCCTTGGTACTTGGTTGAAGAAGAAGAAGAAGTGTAGTAAGGCTATGCATGGCTTATGTGCAAGTACTATGCTGTTATGTTGTAGAATGAAAAAAAGGCATGGTTTGATTGGGATGTTACATTTTTCTTTCGAAGTTTCTACTGTATGATTTGTATTTTCCTTATTCTCATAACACATGTATAATTACTGTATGAATGGAAAGAAAGGAAGAAAGAAAGAAAGAAACTTAAATGCGTATATCTTGGGTAGAAAGGAATTGGCATTTAATGCATACCATAAGTAGGAATGGGGAGGTGTCTAAGGAAAATTGCTTAGAAAGGTAGTGACCGGATATGTATCATAATTTTGTCTCAATGGCAATTTAAAAAAAAACGAGAAACATTTTTCTATTGTTGCTTTGTCCTGAAAATAATGTATCTCGCCTTAAACCTCCTTCCACACAAACTATCTATGTACAAAGAAAGTTGTCCTTAAACCATACTCTATCGTTACCCTAGAGCTAAACATGCTCAGCAAGCACGCCATTGCTCTATAGAGGCGGGTTAGCGTTCTTGACAAGTGCCTCAAAGTAGGCCTGATTCCAGGATCCAGCCTCAGGGCTGGGCTTGAAGGCATCGTCCTTGCCACAGAATGAATCATAGCGCTTCGCGGACGTATCGCTAGTACCATCGCTCTCGCCGCCAGGCTTGGCCCACACAAAAGCATCGACGAGCGAAGATCCCGTGTCAGACGTAGGGCGACGACCGAATCCAGCCCCGATGACATTGCACCAGTCACCCCATTCCTTGCGGAGACCCGTGACACCATTGCGGCCTGTGTCGACGATGGCCTGGCCGGGCATACCTGCGGCGACAAGTTCGGGCGAGATGAGCGAAACGTACTTCTTCTCGTTTTGCGCCTTGTTGTACTGGCCGTCGGAGGAACCGGCAAATTCTCCAGGCTCCTGG